TTGGGTCTTTTCGAGGGGTAAGCTCAAGGCCATGGCCATGGGCTTGGAGTTTGGCTTGGGCCCGCTCAAGATCGTCAGATTTTGCTTTCAGTGCTCGTAGAGCTGAGCCTTCCGCAGCTGGTGCGTGGGCTTCAATCTGGTGAGTGACGAGCTGCGCCAAGGGTGCGTGGTAAGCGCGGGCTTGGGTTGTTTTGTTGGGGATTTCTCGTCCCTGCGCCCTGTGGAGTGCCTCTGCTGTAGCGTCGAGGTTGAGACGCTTGACCTGCAAATCCTGTAGGAGATGGGTAATAAAGACAGACTCGGCAACGCTGCGTGTCGGAATGAGACCACAGTATTTTCCGTGGCTCAAGGTTCGAGCCATAAAATCTGCAGCGCCGTGGTAAGCAAGTATCCACGGGAACACGTCGAAGATGGGCAACCCGGCGACGCCGGCTCGACGGGACCATTATTTATGAGGCTTACGCCTGACAGCCGGGCGCCGGCCTATTTGGGTTTGGGTATGTGCAGGGCTGGGTCCTGTCTCTCTCTCTCTCTCTCTCTCGCTCTCTTTGAGACTTGGTGGGGCCTATATTGAGCAAAGTTAAGCTATCTGGTGCGCATCTTGGCCCTAGGTTGGGCCAAGTTGAGCCCATGTGGTCTATGTTGGGCACATCTTGGGCCCAGGTTGAGCCTATGTTACTAGGTCGGCCTATGTTAGGCCTATGTTGGCCTATGTTGGGCCTATGTTGGCGTATGTTGGCTCCATGTTGGCCTATGTTGGCCCTATGTTGAGCCATCTTGGAGGCTATGTTGGGCATATGTTGGCTGTTGGCTATCTTGGGCCTATGTTGGGGATATGTTAGCCAACTTATGTGCCCAACACCCACGAAATGTCGATTAAGCCTGTCCGCGCTGCACGCATAACCGACACCACGGGCACCCTGTTAGGCGAAAGTCGTGGCCGCGAAGGCCACGAAACACGGTAAAAAACGATGTTTTTGAACATTTTTCGAACATCCTGCGCAAGATACATATAAATCTGTCGACCGGATTCGGGCGGGAGTCGACACGGGGTCGACCGGGGGTATTCCCGCGGTCGACCAAAAGGGTCGGTGTGTGGTTGCAATGAAAAGGAACCAAGTGCGCAGGAACAACCGATGACAACCCACCTCATTATAAAAACATGGGCAACCTGAAACCCGATTTGAAAGTAGGTTGTGCGTGTACAAACTAAGGGCCGGGCAGTGTGCGCGCAAAAGAAGGAAAGAGATGAGGTGACAGGACATGAAGCAAGGGAAGACATGAAAGAAAAGAAGAGAAAAGAAGTGTGTAAAGGGGAAGGGATGAAAAGGGGAACCAAATGGAGGGGACCGAAACCGATGAAGCCAAACCTCATTACAACGACCTAGGAAAACCTGCCTAGTTTGAATACCCAAGCTCTCGACAGGTTCCAACGAACCTCAAAAGTACTTTGACCGCTGTGGTCACCTTGTGCCCTGCCAAAATGGCTGGCTGCTTTGACCGCTGCGGTCACGTAAAGGCATAAGCCAACTTGGAATTCAATAATCCGACAAGTCTTGGCAAATAACTTTGGCATAAGCCTCCTACGCCCGCTCTGGGCACGTACATCTCCGAGCAGGGGAAATAAAGACAGACACCCGTTCGACGGGTCCACGGGAGGCACTCTAGGGCTCATCCCGGACTGGCGCAAGGCCAGACACACTTATGGACCTATGGATATGCGTACTGACTGAGAGCGGTGCCACACGCTGGCCTAGGGTACCATTTGCTAAGGGTACAAGTAAGAACCACGGATCCTGGAGGTCTTCAAAAGGAGAAGGGGCCCAAAGCGGAAGAAACCAATCGACGATCACGGGTCGAACAAGATGACGGCGGTCCGTGCACATCTGCCGAACTCATTAGCCCTTTACGAGAAGATTGGAGTGAAAGCTTGTCAGCACCACAACCAAGCAGGTACGTCGGAGTGATCAGCTCCGATATCCTCCCAACTCATGAGCAGCTTCGTTGGCAGTAGACTCATGAGTGGGCTACTGCCCCCTGCTAAAAACAATTCAAAAAGAATCCCTGTGACTACAAGGGGCACACACACACACGCCCGCCACTTTTCAGGTCTGCCCCAAGAAGAGGTGTGCTCTGAGGCGAAAGGAGTGATCGGTGTGCGCAAAAGAAGAGTTCGCGAAAAGACATGAAGGCAGGACATGAAAATCCTTCGATCTATGTGGAGGTCTGGAAACCACATGACCTGGCGCGACCGATGAGCCAGACCTCATTTTACCAAGACCTGGGGCGCCTAAGAACTTAGTTTCACCATGTAAGTGCACGTGCGCGCTAAGGTCGGTGCCGATGTGTGCGCAGAAAAACCCGTAAGAGACTCCAAACAGAGTGAAAGATGAAAGCAGCAGTGAGGACACAGACTTTTCAGGTTAGCGTGGTCCATATGCGAGCGCGCAGATGTGGCGCGCAGGAATGCGTGCGTATGAGAGCGCAACGAGAGCGTACGTATTTGAAAGCGCAAAATCCAGTTGTACCACACATTGTTGAGGGCCAGAGGTCCAAAGGCTTCAGGTCAAGGGTTCTAAAGATCTAGAGAGAAATCTGGAGTGCTGGAGCGTGCGTATGAGAGATCTTAGAGCACGCGTATGGGGCGCAGCCATGAGAGCTCATGTACGGGAGCGCGTGCGCGAGAGAGCGCATTTGTTGAAATCGTTCTCAAGGTCCACAAAGTGCTGCGCCTGCCGCGAAACCCATTCTCTAAGGAGGGCAGCGCTTGCGACAATCCACGGTCCACAAAGTGCTGGGCCTGCAGCTTCAAGGCCTACAACTACACCTGCGCCGCAACGAAATCTGCGTTTCTAGAGGGCTAGGGTTCCAGACGTCCTGAAAGTGCTAGAGGCCCAGCCCAGTCTAGACATCGGCAGAACAATCTAGAGGTTGCGGGGGCTGTAGGTCTAGGTCTAGACGTCTAGAGTTTGAGAGGTATCAGAGGTCTTGATCCGGACGTCGAGGTCTTGAGATGCAGTGGGTCTTGAGCCACATGTCCAAAAAGGTCACGATTCACTGCGCCGAGGGCCGCCACCATGTCCAAGCTGCGCCTGCCACGAAATCTGTGCGTATTTTTTTTACCGCTCCGATCCAGCCCACACAAACTCCATTTTGGGCCACCAAAACGTGAGGTTTCCCTTGCGCCTCCCGCGAAAAGTCGCCGCCAAGTCCGAAAATGTGCGTGGCGCCCGCAACGAGGGCGAAATGCACTTTCAAGACCTTGAGGGGAATGAGTGTATTGGAAGAAGTTCCAAATTAGCCGGACACGCCGGTGAGAACCTCCGATCCCGGACTTAACGCCTACCGTAAGAACCCCTAGGGTGGCCACACTGTCTGGGGAAGAAATGAAATGAAAGGACATGAAAGCCGAAACACGTGTATGTATAGAATGGGAAGGTATGTGATCGCAGATGGTGGGAAACCAGATGGGAGGGACAAGCAATTCAAGACCCAGACCACCTTAGAGAAACCTGGGCGGCCTAGCCTGGTTAAGTGTGTGAAGCTAACTCTTGAGGCCTTGTCTGATCAAATTGAACGCCATTTTGATATCTTGAGTGTGTCCCTCTCGTCGTTCAGTGAGTGCCCGGAGTGAGCCCGAAGTAGTGCCCTCCATGGGCCCAGTTTAGCTGCAAATGTGAAGTGTTTGCGCGCAAGAAACGCCAGGAGTCCGTAGCGGACAGCAGGAACTAGGAACCACGTTGATAAAGACCTGACGACTCGGCGTATATTGGAGCAGGCTTTTATGCCAGGAGGCGCCCCGCAAGGTAGAGCAGACTGTAACGGTCCAAGCCTCGAAACCTTGAGTTTGAGTTCAAGTGAACTTGGCCGGACCCCTTGATCTTGAACTGGGTATAATGTATCATAAACATCTTCAAAGAGCTTCAAACAAGAACCAAAGTTCAAAGTAGTCTAAAAGTGAAAAGAGCTCAGAAGCTCAGTCCAACGTTGGGCGAGGAACGCGAAGATCAATCTGCAAAAAGTGGAATGAAACAGTTTTTGCTTTGCGTAGGTTCAATGAGACTGACGTTGCAGGTGAGCATCCGAAATTGTTTTGTTGGCAGCAAAACTGTGGACCCCCTGCGCCACCCTGCTCAAAAAGTAAAAGTGCAAAGAATCCGCCTACCAAACCAAAAGGCCCTGTTTGACTCCGGGTTTCACACACAATGCCTACAAACCCCCAAACTTGAAACTAAATGAACGTAGAAACTTAGGAATGACGGTGCAGAAACTTTTAGGTTATGGAGGCACAAAGACAGATGAAAGAGGAAGGACAACACAGGAGAGGAAGGAGGAGGAAAATCGAGAATGCAACGACAAGATCGTTTAGCCGGCCACCCAAAAGGCAGCAAAGGCGCAACAGTGACGACCGCCCAAAGACGGGGTAAACAAAAATTTATTAGGAAACTGAGCTGGTTCCAGAAGCACTTGGGTTGACGGGTCAAGGATGAAGTTGAAGCCTACTATACCCAATATCAGACAAACCTGACGGACAAGACCCAAATGACAGGAAGACAAGACCTGCTTCCCAAATGATCCGAGGCAATGGCAGATCACGCAACAGGAAAGTAAGCCGGGAAAGACAAGCTATGGGCAGAGGCAAAGACAGAGGAAACGGCTAGATGTACACGAATATGAGCATCCTGCCTAGAGAGTTTTGAAAATTAAATAGAGCTACGATCGCCCAGGTAGAATGATAGAAGGTGCAGGATCAAGCGTCCTTGACCCCTTCCCATTTGTGATCACAGCTGTATCGCCCACAATAGATCATAGATGATGTTGTGGCCCTTGCGCCTTGGGTCTGCGCATGTTCACACACAATCGCCCAATCTTTCTCTATCCCTGCGCTGGAGATAGCGTGTGCTTTTTTGAAGACCATCGCTTTGTTGGCTTTCAACAACTTGTACTGTACTTACACTACAGACAGAACACATGCAGATGATCCGGACAAGCGTTGGAAGGCTCTTTTGCCGCGATTGGTGCAAAGCCTTTGGCAGTTGCCCTGTGGCTTTGTGGATGCAGGACTCAAGGTGCTCGCTGCGAAACCAGCAGGACCAAAGGTCTATAGGTGCTTTACTTCGGCGCTCCAGTGGTCATACAAGTCCTCTCACATGCGCCCACCGCTTCGTGTGTTTGAGAGGACCAAAGGATACTGCTGGCTTTGTCCCTGCAACTACTGGGGACTCGTTGCTGCAGCTGTGCTGCACAGCCTGCCAACAAAAAGCTTTGTGGACTTTCCTGGAAGCAATCAATGGCATGGCAAACTCTTCCTGCCCTGTGCTTAGCTGTCTCAGAAGCCCAGCCATGTTTCAAGAAGCGCGGGCGCGGGACATTTGGCATTGGTTCTCAGGCCAGCGAGTATTGTCGTTGACTGGGCGACGTGGACGGGGCAAGTCCTCAGTAGCCGCGCTGGGTATGGTGGCTTTGCTCCAACGAAGGATATCTGTGGTGGTCACCGGGCCGGGATCCAACAGACTCTGAGCTTGAAGAGTTTTTGAAAGCAACTGTCGTGTAATGAACAGTTCTTGGGCGCTTGCGCGTACCCCGAATGACGTGAACGGGAATGATAGAGCTAATGAGGCTGTAAGAAGCTATATGAGTAGATGACACACTGCCCCTGGCCCAGCTATTGTCGAGGTATTCAAGGCATGTTCCGCTTTGCTGCCGATGTCTTGAAGGAGGCAAGGGTGACAGAGTTGAATTGCACTTGTACACAGCCAAGTTGGAATACTGCTTTGGAGGGCCTAGACGAATTGCAGATTGAAGTTTTGTGGCGACGTCCAAAAGCTGTGAGGCCCAGCCAGAACATGTCCAACTCCGAAGCCTGATGTCGGGAAGAGCGCGTTTCCTCGAAGCGGAGCGGGCTTATGGGAATGAGCGCAGCATACCTTTAACGCACGTTGCCGGGCTGGCCTGGCTGTTGTGACGTTCACAAATCGCCCCAAAGTCATGTCTTTTTGTGAAGAGCAGCCCCTCTTTCTTGGAGAGCGCTCGCGTGAGAGCATAAACGGACACACGCGCACATGATAGCGCGCGTATGAGAGCACACAGAGAAAGCGCTAGTATGAAGCTTGCGTGTGAGCGGGAAGACACACTTAGATCATTGCTCGCAAGAGCTCTACCAGTTGCGGCGTCCACGTGAAGCTAGCGCTTTACGAGCGCTTTACGTTACTGAAAGCTAGACCTTGACTTGCAGAACGGAAAGGTGGCAGCGTCCGCATCAACTGAATGTTTCAACAAAGACGAACTAGCGCTTTACGGGAGAATGAAGGTAACGGCGTGGTCAACAGTTCAACCAGAAGGGAAATTAAAAGGTAAGTGCAGGTGCGTGACTTCGGCGTCCCACAGTCATTTCACAACACGATGGATGGGCGATGCCTTCCACAGTGTTCATTGCCCCCTGCGAGTGATCTGTACAAGGTTTTGAAATTTTTGCACATGAAGACATGTTTTCCTTAGCGTGGCCAAATTCCTTAGATACAGGAATTGACGCGCGCAAAAAGCCGTCGTTCGGCGTCCCTGATCGCAACCGACTAAAAACAAAGGTGTAGCGGTGAGGTATGGGGACACTGCGCAGGACATGTGGTGTGACAATCATGAGATCACATGCTCGCAAAGCAGCAGGTCGGGTGGGGCGGATCAACGCGGCCTTGTTTCTAATCAGCCGAATATTGTGCCAAATCGGGCCCTTTTTGGGCATAGAGGTTTGCTAATTGAGCGAGCGCTTGCTCAATTGCCGATGTGGGATAGGTGTAGTGACGTATACGAGGTGCTCGGGAAGTGAGGCCGGAGAGGCGCAAACGGTGTGATCCTGCGGAAGCATGGTCTCGGATCTTTCATGGTGCATCCGGCGGAATGTATGTGATTGTACGTTGGGTGAGGTCCACATCGAAGCCGAGGAGGTGCATATCTTCGACAGGTTCCAGCTCCACTGGCTTGCCAAAGATTTTTGGATGCCGGTGTGGTTGAGGAAAATGTCATTGAAGGTGATGAATCGGTTGTCGACGTAGCGGCAGTAGGTGAAGTGAATTTGACTGTGGTCTGTGAGGCTGTGGTGTAGCTGGGCCCATGAGTGTTCGATGAGTGTGATAGGAAGATTGCGCGAGAGTTGGAAGCCAATCCCAGCTCCACGAGTCTCTTGGTAGAAGGTAGTGTAGCAGTAACAGTACTCCGGGTATTGTGCTGATCCGCGTCCATATGAGTCGCAGCCTGTACAGGGTCAATGTTAAGAGTGGATGGAAGACTCTCCATCGGACGTAGTGAGGCGGGCCACACGGCGAGTCGGTGCCAGCATCGAGAATGCGTGCTGAGCGTCGACCATGTTGTCAGCTGTGGTGTCATGTGGAGAGGACGGGTCCTTAGAGCTGCTGATGTGTCCGCTGTGTTGACATGCTCAATGGACGGCGCTGCAACTTGGCCTGGGGATGGGCCGTGTTGTGATGCTTGAGGCCAGGCGCCGGTGTATCGCCGAGGGGTGCGAAGTCAGCGTGTGTCCGCTGCGTTGTCTCGCGCAATGGATGGTGCCCCTGTGTTGCCACTCCGCTCCCAGCACTGGAGTCGTTTGGCGATGAATGCCCAGCTGGGACGAAGCTTGCTGTTTGTCTTCATGTCCACCACGAGTTCTTCCTGCCATGCTTCCCAATGGTCCCAATTTTCCGAACCATCGGAATGGGTGTGCACGGGTGGGTTGGCCTTGGCAGGTGGGGGAAGAGGTGGATCTGAGGAATCACTGTCGGATCAGGAAGATGGTGGTGGTGGTATGGAGGGCGCGCCGATGATTCTGGCCTTGGGCAATGAAGTGCTCTCCTCGTCTGTGCTGGAGGTGAGTGGAAAAGCTGCGTGATGTGGTTGGAGTGGACAAGGTGGGTTCCCAAAGCCTGGCGGTCGGGGATATGCTGTCGGCGGTGGCAGTGGTGTTGGTGGATGGCCGCGAATGCTGGTGTTGTAGATCTCATCAAGTAGAGCGGCGGCTTTTCGGAGGTAGAAGGCAATCTGTACCAGGATGGCCGCAACTGGATTGTGAGGTGCCGATTGATAGATGGGTGCAGGAGGGCGACGTGTCATGGCGAATGGCAGATCTGAAATAGCGGATGAAGAGGCAAAAACGTGGATCAAGTGGCTCGCTGGAGAGAGAGTCGAGCAGTGCAGAAGATAGCGCTTGATCGTACATGAACGGCGGCTCCAAGTCCGATTGTGTCAAATCACATGGAAAAGACAAATTAAACGGCGTCGTCAACACATGTCCATATGCAATGATCAAATCAAGGCAACATGTTCAATTCAATGACTTCACGGCAAGCGCAATCAAACAAATTCAATTGCAAACTAAATCGCCCTGCAATGAATTAAGCTGAGCTGAAAATTTTTCTTCTGGCGTCTGCTTCAATTTTTCCTGATCAAAGGAATGAATCGGGCGGGCTTGCTGAACATTGCGAAGCAATCAATACCTCGAATGACGGCATTATCCGGGTGAATTATGAAACATTTGCCGCGGTCGAAGGAGGCGGTCACCTTCGGCTCCGCCCCCATGGGTGCATTTCTGACCAGTCCCGAAAGCCATCAGGCGCAAGAAAACCTTGGCGCGGTTCTTGTCGGATGGTTTTTGCTGGTCATTGTTGACATCTCCTGCAGTTCCATTCATCATACTTAACATCTCCTGTAGTCTCACACCCTTGGGCATAAAAACCAATGGCGTGGGGGTCGTGAAGTGTGCTGGGGCGAAACCGGCCACTCTGCAGGAGGCTGACTAGGTTGCTTTCTTCGGTGGCGTGTCCACAGAAGATATGTTTGACGCCGTGCTGAGTGTTTGTGGCTCGTCTACGGGAGGGAATGTTGGTGATCCTGGAACGGGTGTGAAGTTTTGGAACATAAAGGGTGAAGAGACTCACGTGTTTGTAGTCCTGCAGTGAATCCTTCCACTCACTGTGAGTCCAGTGTTGAATCTCCTGAAGATCTTGCGCTTGTATGCTCAGCAATCTCAAGCAAATGGCTGAGCCAGCGCGGTTCAAGCAAAACGAATATCCAGTGACTGTTCACCCTTGAGGGCCTGTGCAAGAAGCGCCCCCCGACGGGGATCACACAGCGCACCAGACCACAGTGGGACGATGCTGCGAAGCACACTTAGATCATTGCTCGCAAGAGCTCTATCAGTTGCGACTCCCACGTGAAGCTAGCGCTTTACGTTACTGAAAGCTAGACCCTGGCTTGCAGAACGGAAAGGTGGGAGAATGAGGGCAACAGCGTGGTCAACAGTTCAACCAGAAGGGAAATTAAAAGGTAGCACAGGTACGTGGCTTGGGCGTCTTAAAGTCATTTCACAACACGATGGAAGGGTCTTTGTTGGGCAATGCCTTCCAAAGTGTTCATTGCCCCCCTGCGAGTGATCTGTACAAGGTTTGAATTATTGCGCATGAAGACATGTTTTCCTTAGCGTGGCCAAATTCCTTAGATACAGGAGTTGACGCACACACACACACACGCACTCAAAATCAAGTTTGCGCAATGTACGAACTGAAAGTCAAGGAAACCTAGGTGCAAAAAGGAACCTGAATACAACCAGCGCCGGGGTCCAAGAACCTATAAAAATACCTGAGAGAAGCATCTATATAAGTGACAGCAAACCAAGGGCCCACTGGAACTGCGTAGCAACACCGAGACCAAATCAAAGCAGGTACGAAAACGCCTGCGACTGACAAGCTTCTTTGTTCAGTTGTGACTCATCAGGCAATCGACAATCTTTTGCTCGTGATGACTTGGTGGTTTGTGTTTGGTCCGACTTGTGTGAGTTGCGCGCGGCGCGTGGTGTATGGATTCTGTCATTCTGTCATTTACATGTGGCAGGATATGTCACTATCAGCGCAGGAATCATCTTCTGTGGGTGGTGGTTCACATGGACTCTGATGTACGGGGACGCTGGGAGGATGATGCTGCTGCATTCTGCGCCCCCCAGGGTGCAGGTGAGTGTAAGGTATGGTTTGTTTGTTAGTGCTTGAGTGTAATGCAAAGTTACTAGAAAAAATCATAGTTATATAATATAGTTATATATTTCCAGCGAAAAGTAACTATTAGTACAGAAAGTTGAGATTTCCAGGGGGAAGTGCCAAAAAAGTGTGCTTTTCCTGCCCAAATAGAGATTTGTAGAGATGAAGCAATACCGGTTTCTGTAGAAATAAAAGAAAGACGCATGACGCGCGAAATCAACACTGACAATGCGAAGAGGTTCTGTTAGATGTTTGCTTGACCGACAGGTCATGACTTCGCCGCAGTGGCCCGAGCTGTGCAAAGGTGTGGGCGCGACCTTTTTCATTGGTTTTCGTTTCATGGTAGCGGAGCCAGCCAAAGTGCTGGCTCCCGCGGGGCAGCCGGGCGCGCGATGGCGTGGCACGTTGGTGACCACGATGATCCTGATGGTGATGACTAGCGCCGGCTGCCAGGACGACTTCCTCTTCGACCTGGAGCACATGGACTACGTGGACAACATGAGAAGGAGATCTACGAGGTGACGGATGACAGTGGCAGGTTTGCCACGAGGGATTGGAACTGTCAGCTGTCGAGATGGCCAGATTTGGACTTTTTAATGAACACCGGCCTGACAGAGTCCTTGGACTGCACTATGAGGTGGATTGGGACCACCGGTTTGAAGGTAAGAGCATGGATTGGAGCCATGCTAGAGGATGAAGCTGGGAGTCATGACCCAGCGGACTACCGCCTGAAGTATGACAACAAGAGCCTGGCTCGGCGCCTGGACCTGGACAGGTCGAGGATTGGCGCCTGGACCTTGACCGCTTGCAGAGCCAGAGTCTCCAAGACTATGGATACAGCTTGAACTACAGCACGGACATTGTCTTGGCCATTGAC